TTTTTCCGCTTGGGAAGCGCAAGTGTGCGCGAGTTTTTCTACGGCGCTTTTCTTTCGTCGGTGAGTTGGTTTTTCTTCTATTTTTAAGTTACTAAGGTGAATGGTGAGGAAACCTTCGTCTTAACTAAACATAAGCCCCAAACAAAATATAATGAAAGCAAAATAAAAGTAAAATAAAAATAAAGCTCAGACTTGGTTCCTTACACCCTGACTGCAACAAAGTTAAATATCAGTAATGGTTATATTCACATGGTCATCGAGCAGCAATAGTACTACAAAATTTGCACTCAGAATGCCTCATCTCACCAATAAACAAAATCCATTAAAATAGCTATATCTTTACAACATATGATATTAACATGCTATTCCACTGAAAGTGTAGTATTTCTTTCACATGTTGTTGAAATGAACCTTGATGCCATCAGTTTAAGCCAAAAAGCAAGCATCAAAGTCTTGGATGGATGGATGAATATCAGGAATCTCTGCCATCTAAGAAATGCAAGATCATTCAGACAAATGCTGAAAAGTTATGCTGACATTCTTTTTTGACTGACAAGAACCACTCTTCATCAAGTCTCTTGAAAAAGTCATATCATTAATGCCAAGAACTGCTACATAACTGTAGAAACTAAATCAAGCTATAAAACAAAGCAGTCAAGAATGCTCTCCAATGGCATCATTTTACTATATGACAACACATAGTTGAATGAGGCCAATCAACACTATCAAAAAACAACGTTACTAAATTTCAGATGGAAAATTCTGCAACATCCTGCCTGTAGTCCAGACATGTCACTATCTTATTTTCACATTTTCAGTCCCTTAACGGAAGTGTTTCATAGAAAAACTTTTAGTCAGATGACAAAGTTAAAGAAGAATTCAAAACTGGTTTGCAGCACTGCCAAAGCTCTTCTACAAGAGTGCCATTGGCCATCTGGTATCCCAGTAAGATAAGTATTTGTGCAATTTTGGTGATCACTCTTAGGCTGCAAAAAATAATTGTATAATTAGACCAAGTGTTCAGATTTTAATTGTATACTGCTTATATTTTCAGTTAATGCCAATACTACTGTGTATATTATAATAGTAAACAATAAACATTTAACCACCCTAACTTAAAAGCCTAAATGGAGTTTAGGCTTTTAAGTAGGGTGTAAAAAATTCTTTACTTATGCAAATGTTCTTATGCATATTCATTGGATAACATTAGGCTGTAAAATTGGAAAATGGAGCCATGGTGTTTAAATATTGGAATCCAACATGTTGTTATTCACTGATCAAAGATGTTTCTGATCTGGGTGTCCACTGATTGGAGAGACAATTCCTATATGAACCAATGGTTTACAGGCAACAAAGGAAAAATTTCCATGAGTTGAAGAACGTCCATCATCCTTAAAGTTGATTGCCTTCTTATTCAATGCTGCCTTGTATATTTCAAGCTGTTCAAGGTAGTGGAGTTGCCCCCTTTTGGACATTTTGTGAAGGATCCTGGTCCTATCCAAATGGACCTCCACACCCAGGTCAGAAGCATAAGTTTACAATGCAGTGGAACAGCATTGGATTCAAATTTTCAAACATTGCAGCTCCATTTTCCAATTCTACAGCCTGATGATGTCCAATGGAATGTGGATGAAAATGTTCTCGTAAGTAAAGAATTTTTTGCTGGAGTTTAGGCTTTAAGTAGGGTGATTAAATACAATATATCCAGCATTTAGCTTTCGACTATTCAAACAATAAACAACAGTAGAAACTAGAGAAAGAACTTACAAACAAAAACAACACCTTATATCACTCTAGCAAATAAATTTAATGAACACAAAAACATTTTTGATCCAGCTTGATAGATCATCTTCAGTTGCAGAACCTAAAAAAATGAAATAGAACATACAAAATTTTAAGTTTAAAAAAATATTTAAGAAAAAGAACACAGTATTCAAATATGCAAACATAAAAAACTGAATGTTAACATTAAAACAAAAATAATCTAACAATAGAATAACAAAGTTAAACAAAACTACATTTCATATAATGATTTCCATGTGGTGGACAAGTCTTCATCATGATAGTTAACACACCTGTGGCTTCTATTTGCTGTGTAAATTTCTAGGATTTCCAACTGTTTTAGGCTATTAACATTGTTCATAGGTATAATGATCTCAGCATTCTCCCAAACTTCCATGTTGGGTTTGTTAGCAAATGCTGACAGAGCAGTATTAGTTAGACCAGTGTTTCTCAATGGGGGCAATATCACCCCCATGTGGGCATTTTTCCATGTTGAGGGGCAATTAGTAACAATTTATATTTTGGGGGCAAAAAACAATTTTCTGGGCGATATAGTAAAATATTATATTAAGAATAATTTGACATTTTATTCGTTATATCGTACAATAATTAAACAAATAACATTATACTAGTCACTAGTCTATTCAATGCAGTATGAATTTGGTGTTAGTCTTGGCCCTCAACATTGGAATTTTGAAATAAAACGGGGGGCGATACTACATAAAGGTTTTATTGAAGGGGATGATACTACATTGAAGGGGACGATGATTCATTAGAGGTTGAGAAACACTGAGTTAGACCTTTATTCACCACCCATTTTGTGCTCCTTAATTCCATTAAGAAAGTTCTGCTTGCTTATGCCAATGTGTTTCATTTTGTGTTAAATTAGTGATCTTTGTGGAAGTGATTTCAAAAAGTACTGAGATCATTATACCTATGAACAATGTTAATAGCCTAAAACAGTTGGAAATCCTAGAAATTTACACAGCAAATAGAAGCCACAGGTGTGCTAACTATCATGATGAAGACTTGTTGTCCACCACATGGAAATCATTATATGAAATGTATCTTTGTTTAACTTTATGTAATTTTATTTTTATATTATTTTTT